ATCAATAATGTAATATCCAATTACTGGTCTTCTAGATTAAGGCATTCTTCTTTTATTGTGAGATTTTAATGCTAGAATGAGAAGTTCAAATATTGCCAATGAAGTCTCAGACTAATTAAATGATTATAGCCTAAAGGGAGGGGTAACCGAGACCGTCTTCATCTTCCCAAGAGTAGCCTCCGTATATGACAAACACATGGATATATGGACCTTATTTCAAAAGAAAAAATTTAAGGAGTTGTTTGGAAAAAAAATCAGTTCAACTTTTGAATAAAAAAGGAAGGTTAGTATTTCTTTATGAAGCCTTTCTCAGCTTTTTGCGGAAGGAATGGTTGTATTTAAGAATGCAGTAGTGGATTGAACCACATGAATTGTGCTAGGCCTTCACTTGCTCAAATATTTAGAGGTGGCCAAAAGCAGCAGTGACAACAATTGTCACCGATGCTTTACCAGCACGCACCGTGTGCCAGACACCCTTCCTGGCTTGTCTGTCTTATCCTCATTTTACAGATAAGGAAACAGAGGCACAGAGAGGTCACTAGCTCAAGCTATAAGTGGCAGAGGGGAGTGTTGGGATATTCCACAGCATCTCCTCGTAATCCCTCAGGATTGACCACCACTCTCTGGACTGTTTCAATCTCTATCATTCTCATCGCCTGCCTGTGAGGAACCAACGGCAGTTCTCAGCCATAGGACAGGAGCAGGAAGTCAAGACGGAGCAGAGGAATTGAGGTCCACATCCAAACAGCCCTCCAGGAGGGACGTTCTGTTTCATAGTGTGTTGAAATGGGACTTCCTACCTAGGAGGCGGGGCAGTGGTTTCTCAGCCTTGTAAGAATCTGTTTTGCGGTGGCCTCTCTCCACTCAGACAGTGGCTCTCTCCTGCCCTTCTCGCCACTGTTTCGTGCCCCCAGGGGAAATGGTGGTGTAACTCCTTTAAATCTTCCGTCTTGGCATGTGTGTCCATTCTCTTCATAGCACTGTTTTTTGGGTGGTGGGGAGTAGTGGATGTGTCTGAGGATTGGTGGGGCCAGAAGACAGGACCATGAAATTTCCCTCTACTCTTCCTGGGGAAGGCTTCATTTGTGAACAAATGAATCTTCAAAAGTGCTATACATCTTGAAATAAATTATTTCAGTGATATTTCTTTATGAGGCCTTTATTTTAAGGGAAAATTTGGTACATGGAAGTTGAAGAATATTTTTATTATATCACCCTGAGAATGATTTTTTTCATGTAAGATCCCTCTTTTAGCACCCTTGATAACCATTATATTACTTGTGTTGAGAAGTTTATGTCAAGTTCATGTTTCTGATGGAAAGATAAGTTTATCTGGATCTTAGAGAACACAGTCACTGGACACAGGAGTCAAGGTTAAAAAATAAAGCCTGGTTGAGGCCGGCCCGGTGGCACAAGTGGTTAAGTGCGCGTGCTCCAGGGTTCGCCGGTTCGGATCCTGGGCGCGCACCGGTGCACTGCTTGTCAAGCCGTGCTGTGGCGGCGTCCCATATAAAGTGGAGGAAGATGGGCATGGATGTTAGCCCGGGGCCAGTCTTCCTCAGCAAAAAAAGAGGAGGATTGGCAGATGTTAGCTCAGGGCTGATCTTCCTCACACACACACAAAAAAAGCCTGGCTTCTAAAGTTCAGAAGATGTATCCCTTGGTATTTGCAACTACCTTAAGCTGGCCTGGAAATCACTGAACAGATTAGTTCTATAAATGCTCAAAATGGGACAGGTAAATGCTCAAATTTGGAAAAGTCCCCCTCGTGACTGATAACATGTGGTATTCATGGATGACTCTCTCAGACAGTTGCTTAAAACTGGCCACAGCCAGTGTCACATCAGCTACAGATGAAAATGTGAACAGTCATCATACTTCTGGATGACTTCAATGGGATAGGATGACTGAGGTTTTAATTTTGATTAATTACTTTATCCCTTCAAAGAGAACTCTACTTTTAGTAGGAGGCTAGAAAAAATATGATTTGTGTAAACTGTCAGGCTAAAAGTAGACCGTGAATCTTCCCATTCTAAAAACTACAGAATTTCCTGTGCCATGTCAACCTAAGCTGGAATTGGTGAGGGTAGGAGTAGGGAAGACACGTGGAGTGTGACAATATATTGTACTCCTTACAATCTTTATGTGGTAAGGTACTTTATTCCAAGTATTTTGTTGTAATTTAGTGCTGATACCTATCAATTGACATAATAATCTCTCCCACAACCAGTAACCTTGACCTTCTATCAGAAGCCCTCAGACACATAAACAAACTGTGAATCCTGGTCAAGGTCCATGTCAGAGTCCTCTTTCACTTGGAGATTCAATGCACCTGTAAGTCCTTGTAAGGACTTTCCTGATTTTGCTTTTTCCTCTCTTACATCAGTCTCTCTTCCATTGCTACATCCTGTTTACTCCCCAGGAATAAATAGAACATTTTTTTCCAAGCCTGAAAACCCCTGAGTCCACATTCACAGCCTCGGACTCAGCCACCCTTTTTTCCTTTATTTTACCATGGACTGCACCCAGTAGAGCTAGGTTGTAATTTTGGCCAGCATCAGGTGGCGCTTCTAACTTGTGCCTTCTGTTTATATAAAGTGAATTAATTGTTGGCTCTATTAATCCTGCAAAATCTATGAATCCTTAATGTTTACTTTGCTTAGAATGAGTAACAATGTATTTGTTCCTTCTCAAATATGGCTTCTTACTGAGCCTTAGACTAGCTCCTTTAGATAACATGCCTCATATCTTGGATGATTCACTCACTTTCATGTTCCCTGGAATTTATTGCTAAAAGTTGACTTGAACACTTACAGTTTGGGCTCCAATATAATTTCCTGAATGGCAATTAGTTAATAAAAGATGGTTACTGTTGTTGACAGAGAAACGAGGCTTTCTCAGATAGTTTTCGTCTTCATGTTTTCACCAAACTTCATGTCAGACATCCCCAGGGGTTGATGGTATAAAATATTTTCTGTAAACTCCAAAGCTTTCACTGTTGCTTCAATACCCCAAACCTCTCTGTTGCCTTTTGTTTCCTTGTCAGAAATGAGCTTATTCAATTTCTATTTCTTCAGCTTACGTTCCTTCCTGAGAATATAAGAAATACGCCTCTTTCTGGTTTTAGTATTAACATATTCTCATTATTTATGACTTGCAAGTAGCACCTGAAATTTCTTGCAATTTTTTTTTTTTGCTTTGTGTCATCTCTGTTGCATTTCTTGGAGATACACTGTTGCATTTATTGGAGATACACTGTCATCTATAAAATGCAATGTTTATTGTCATCATGTATATTATTCAAAGTGCAAAATTGCCTCCTGTAAGTTAATGATGAAAAAATAAAACAACATCTGATTTTTGCAGTTTGCCTGCTTGACTAGGCTCAGAGCTAATCTAGACAAATGCTCTTATTTTAGAGATGAGGAATCTGTAGGCCACTTTAAGTAGCTTGCCCATAATCAGGTAGAGGGCAGAAGCCAAGTACATCTACAGGCAGTACTGAACAGAAAAGCTGGAGTTAGGCTGTCTGAGGACAGTTCCTGGTTTTGACACATATTAAATGTGTAACTATAGACTGTTCTGTGCCTCAGTTTCCTCATCTGTGAAATGGGGCTAACAACAGTGGCAGGGGCACAACTATAAGGATTATAGGTGAAGCACTTAGAACAGGACAAAGCGTGCCAGGCATTGTTAGCTGCTAGCATTATTGTTATTATTCTATTTTTAACATATTCAGAACATATGGAAGGGTGTGTATTGTTATTTAACTTTGTGTGTATATATGCATTACACCCTCGTTGTACTTCTTTTGTATTCCTTGCGTTACCTAATACTGTGTTGACAGCTAGTGGTAGTGTTCATGGTAGTGGCAGCAGCAGAAGTAAAAATAATGATGACAGAAGAGAGAGTGCTGCTCCTTCAGCCTTACTATGTGCTGGGCATTGAAATAGGGACTTTATGTACGTAATCCTTAGTATGTACTCAATCCATATCTGTTGAAAAACTGCGAAGTAGTTTATTTCCAGAAATGCAAGTGTAGCCTTTTCATGGCAGTAATCTCCTTCGTAACTGGAGAGGATCATGAGCTTTGGCCCTGATGGAAAAGAGCCCTGATAGAATTCCTTCCATCTTTAAAATAATCCTTGTGCTGCTGGTATTTATATAGCCTAATCCTATTACAGACAACTGGGAGCCTGCCTGTGGGTGGGAATGGAGGTCAGGCCAAAGGTGACAGGAGGCAGGTACAGGGCAAGACAAACAGTGCAAGTGAAAAATATTATGTATCAGAACACAAATTGTTAAAATTCACATAGGTGTCATTTGTTTTTTCCTTTTTGGAATTTTATATCATATGGAATGTTGCCCCTTTTCTAGATACCCAAATAGAAATACATTTGGAACAATAAGCATTGACACAGAAAAGTTATTTTCTTTCTTGCTTTTCTTTATCTGTTGACTAAATGAATTGCATTCACCATACATTAATAACTACTAGGGTAAGATAGAGTGTTTAATTACAAAAATTACAATCACTTCAGTGTTCTTTGATTTCCATGTATAGTATGTTACTTAACAACCATAAAAACAATGTCAGAAACAATAAAAGCTACAATGTCGGGGAGTGCTTAGAATGGGAACTGTGAGAGAAGCATGCATTATGTAAGGTGCTGTGTGTGTGTGTGTGTGTGTGTGTGTGTCTGAATTGTGTGTGCGTGTGTATATATACACACAGGCATATTTATTTCTATATATGATATGTATTATCATTTTAAATCTTGCCACAACTTTATGGAAAAGGAAACTAAGGCTTAGAGAAATGAACCCACTTGCTCCAAATCACAAAAAGTGGCAAAGTGGGGGTTTAATTCTGAGTCCGACCCACCTAATACCCCATTTTTGAAGGTGCACAAGCAGAAATATTTTAGAACAACAAGCCTTTCTGCTATACCACACTGCCTCGTTACGGGAAGGATCACCTTCTGCCCTTTCTTTTCCAGAATCTCCAAGCAAAGATTTCGGTCCCACCCTGGGTTTGAAGAAGTCCAGTTCCTTGGAGAGCCTGCAGACGGCGGTTGCTGAGGTCCGGAAGAATGAACTTCCCTTCCACAGGCCCCGGCCGCACATGGTTCGCGGCCGCGGCTGCAATGAGAGCTTCCGAGCGGCCATTGACAAGTCTTACGACGGGCCCGAAGACTTAGAAGCCGGTAGGGCAACGTGCTTCCTTAAATGGCTCCTTCATCTCGTTATTATCTGCGAACCATAGGCCAGAATGTGTGCTTAACTACAGAGAAAAATGATTTAACGGTCACAATTATATTTTCGATATTAAAAGTAATTCATTTTCCTGATATGTTTTGCCCTTTGGCTTAACGAACATGGAATTGGATAACGCAATGTGCGATTTATTTTACAGTGCAAACGCTCAAGAAATGTTCTCCTTCACTTTCCTGCAAGGACCCGCTGTCATTTACCCTGAGGGTGGGGGCACTTATGCGTTTCTTGACGTTCTTATTGGACTTATTAGAAGCAGCGTCAACCTGAGGACTGACAGCATTAGTTGGGTGGAAGCAGTTGGGCTATATTTGTACTCAAAGGCCTCGCCTGCCTCAAAAGCAGCTCCCCCTGTTAGTCTCCCAGCTTCCTGAGCTGATCAAGGTTAACCAGCTGGTGTTCAGGGAGATTAGTGCTCTCCCACATATCAGACCTTTCCGGTTCCGGCTACGCAACCATCATCCCCACTCCCAACGTCAAACCTTGTTGAAGTCACCAGATGTAGGCCGCTGTCTCCTCAAAGGGTACAAGTAGCCACACGGCAGGGCTCCTATATTTTGTGCTCTGTATTTTACGTTTTAACTTTTCTTTATATACCAGCTCTAAGTGCCCCTGACCACGTGCATTGATTTTTTTCCCTGTACAGACGGTCTGTCTGATAAGAGCTCTCACTCCGGCCAAGGAGCTCTGAATTGTGAATCTGCCCCTCAGGGGAACTCGGAGCTAGAAAACGTGGATCATAAAGCCAGGAAAGTCAAGAAGCGGAAGGAGAAGGAGAAGAAGAAGGAAAAGGGCAAATCGAAAGTCAAAGAGAAAAAGCAGAAAGAGGACAATGAAGATCCAGAAAGGAAAATGAAGAGGAAGGGATTTGGCGCCATGCTGAGGTAGGGACCTTCGATGAAGGACCCTCTTGTTTGTTTTCTTGTTTCTCCTGGTGAAGTCACTCGTTGGTGTGCACTCAGAATGAAATGCAAGCTTTCCCTCGTCTTCAGCTGAATGCATACAAATCTAAGCCGAATGTGCTTGTTCCTTTCCACAGAGGCAGAAGGGGCCTTCTTGGGCGGTTTCTGAATCTCATGGTGATGACAGGAAGCTGTCATAAATTTGTTGTCAAAGAAAGGCCGGCGCGTGGTAAGGGCCGTGGGCAACGCCCGCGGCCCTTGGTACCGCAGCGTCATGTAGGTAAAGGAAATGCTTCTCCATCAGCACAGGTAGAGCAAGAGGCGAGGGAGTCCTAACTGTTACCTCTAGGACACCCCCTCACAGGGTAGATGAGCCTCTCCCCACCCTGTGCTTCTAGGTGTGTGCACACTAGCTGTCACCCCCAGAGGCCCTGTGGTGCAGTGGAGTTGTCACTTCGTCTGCGGTCACCGGGCCCTGGTCTGAATCCACAACTCTCCACACACCGGCTGCTGGGCTTCACACACGTTACTTAACGTCCCTGATCCTGACTTTCCTCACTGTCAAAATGATGCCAGCCTTCCTGCTCTCCTAACTGCGTGGGGTTGGGAGACAAGATTTCACATGCAGGCGGTCCATCGACTGGGCATGGCTCGGTAGGTACAATCCAAAAACGACTTTATTTCTTCTCCTCCAGCTACCTTCAGATATGCTCTGTTGGTGCTGTCAAGATGTCCACAATTTGATGATCTCAGTTCTCCAGCTGATGGCTTTCTGGTCACTTTGGGTATTTAAACAACCTCTTTGTTAGGGTCTGAAACTCCACTCTAATGTTAATCAACGCTCTGCTCCTCCCCACGCCTCAGGCCTCAACCCCAAGGAGGGCCCTGGGTGTGGTGGCAGGATTCCACCTTCTGCTTCTCCAGCTTCTCAGAACCAGGGGGAAGGGAGGGACATTATTAAACAAGGATGGAGATACAGTAACTGGCGTCTGTGTCTGGTGTGATCTGGCTGTTGGGGGCCGTTTGTGAGCCACTTTTGTGGATTTTTCAGGGGCTCCTTGCTGCACCAGTGGCTGATGCAGGAGATTCAGTCTCCCACTGACTTGCTGAGACTCTGGCCCTTAGCCTCTGAGCTCAGACAGCACAGCCCTGGAGCCTCGTCACTCCAGCTGATACCCTTCTTGGATGGTGTCAGTTCGAGATGGCCTTAGCCTTACTTCCTCCGCAGCGTCTATTTGGCTCACCAGACTTATGGATCCCTTGTCCCTCCAGATGACGGAAGTGCAGCCTGTTCCCCCGCTCCCCCCCTCACCCTGCCGTGGTGATGCCCCAGCCATCGCTGAGGCCCCCTGGCATCCTCAGTGTTCTCCAGGGCGGTCATCACTGGCTTCGTGCCTCCCAGGCTCTAGGGCCACATGCCAAGTTCTCCCAAGAACACTTGCATGCATGGGGAAGGAGAGGTCAGTACGTGTCTGAAGTCCCCAGGCAGACGGGTGGGAAGTGGGGTGACAGTCTCCTTCATATAAGTGCCTGCAAATTCTCTGAGGGGGTTTCTTGCAGCCTCCTCACATATTTTGTTGGGGTGAGAGGGGGCAGCACCCTTTTCCAGTGCTTTCTTTACTCCTGGAATTTCCCATCACAGAAACTCTCTCCCTCAGTCTCTGCTCTTCTCTCCACGGGCTGAAGGTGAGGGTGGGAGGTGATGGTTGGTGGCCAGTTTGGCCACCTCTTATCAAACCCTTAGGAGATATCTCTCCTAAGAATGCAGGTGGCATTTGTCATCAAATGTTCTCAGTTTGGGATCTTCAACTGAAATTTCAGACAGAAACAGAAAGTTCCATTCTGTATCTGTTATTCATATATGTAATATATATATATATTTTTCTATATACATATAATATTATATATGTATAATATAGAGGAAAGGACCTTGAACCTGCGCAGTGACACTTAGGGGACACAAATAATACTGATACCATGGGAGAATTCTCTCAATGGACACAATGGACATTGGTTTGTTTTCCTGGTGGTCTCTCTAGACTCTGTCTTTCCATTTGGCATTTTGAATGTTAAACTTGCACTTTTTCCAGGTGATTATTATGATTGCCAGAGTTTACAGGCCATGAGATGATCATCCTGATAATAGTGACACATGCAATTGCAGTACATTTCAGTGAAACTCCCCTTGAAGTTATGAGTTCAGAGGTTAAAAGTGCATGTGGACTTCTAGTTCAATCCTGGCTCCTCTACTTTTCTATCTGGGTGACATTGGGCGAGTTATTTAATCTCTTTGTGTCTCAGTTTCCTTATCTGGAAAATGGGAATAATAATAGAATCTACCATTATTATGAGAATTATATTTTTTTAACTACATGTAACATGCTTAGAACAGTGCCTGGCAAGTAGTAAACATTCAATAATGTTAATTATTATGGTAAGCAGAATAATGGCCCCCTAAAGATGTCCGCGTCCCAATTCCTGGTACCTGTGAGTATGTTATGTTGCTTGGCAAAGGAGAACTGAGGTTGCTCATCAGCTGATCTTAAGATAAGGTGCTTATCCTGGCTTTTCCTCAGGGGGCCCAGTGTAATCACAGTGGAGGAGGACAATGTGACTGTGGAAGAAAGGTACAGAGAAATGCAATTCGGTAGGTCCCCCTTATCTGTGGGTTCACTCTCCACGGTTTCAGTTACCCTCGAACCATGGCCTGAAATTATTAAACGGAAAATTACAGAAGTAAGCAATTCATAGATTTTAAATTGCGCGTCATTCTGAGTAGCGTGATGAAATCTCATGCCATCCTGCTCGATCCCTTACAGGATGTGACTCATCCCTCTCCCTGGGATCCATGCTGTGTACACCACTGCCCATTAGTCTCTTAGTAGCCACCTAGGTTATCAGATCGACTGTTGTGGTATCACAGTGCTCGTGTTCAAGCAACTCTTATTTTACTTAACAATGGCCCCAAAGTGCAAGAGTAGTAATGCTGGCAAGATTATACCAAAGAGAAGCCAGAAAGTGCTTCGTTAAGTAAAAAGAACATAGTACATACAGGGTCCGGTGCTGTCCACGGTTTCTGGCGTCCGCTGGGGGTCTTGGAACGTATCCCCTGCGGATGAGGGGGGACTCCTGTATGTGCTGGCTTTGAGATGGAAGGAGGAAGCCAGGAGCCAAGGAGTGCGGGTGGCCACTAGAAGGTGGGAAGGTCAAAGAAATGGGTTCTCTCTGGAGAGCCTCCAGAGAGGAACGCGGCCTGCTCACCCCTTAATTTCAGCCCATTCTGCTGGTTAATCCACGAAGTGTGTAGTAATTTTTTATAGTGTCAATAGAAAACTAATATAGTTTCCTATCATATTATCATAATAATTATTACTACTTTTACAACATCATAGTAATTTATAAGGAAAAATTTTCTCTTTAATCTGTGTTAAAGAAAAAACTATAAAGATTTAGCTAGAGCAGTCTATAAATATAAAAACTGTTAGAGCTTCATATGTCCCATTTTCTAGAATATTACTAAGTTAAGCCTTAGTTATATTTTATTTCAGATGGTTTGCTTCGGTGGGTTCATGCTCCGATGCCCGCAGTGCAGCGCTGTCTCTCCTTGTGGTCCAGTCTACGCTGTATCTTCCTCCGTCCAAATCACAGGTCCTAGATCCTCTAGACATCCAGCAACTCAGCTTGTTTCCTTCTACTCTTTTAGTAAAATGAAGATCTGGAAGGTGGTATTTGACTTTATCTCTGGTGTAAAAATAGCAACTGTTTTCCGTAGCCTTTTGCATCTGAGTTTGTGAGCATATTGGAGTTGCTGCTACATGCACATTTTCAACAACAAAGAATACAAAAGCTGTTACCATTAGCCAACAGATTTTGCTTTATTTCTCATCTGTTGCTCAGATGCTATTGACTTAGTTTCTTTCTTATTTAAAAAAGATTGATTGCTTTAAGGCTCTCTGAGAATTAGATGTGTGGTTTAAATATGTGTTATTTTTTCCATTATCTGCGTTTCGCAGACGCTCTCCTGAATGCAGGCTTCTGTGTAGTTGAGTAGGTGTCCGTGGACAACGGCACCTGGCCAGGGGCATGAGTGAGGACTGGAATTCTGCCCCCCTCCCCACCAAGCCAGGCGTCGTGGACATGCGGCAGTGTTAGCAGTGGCTTGCTCTTGCTTGTAAAAAGCTAAGTGTTGTGTGCTTTTCTGATATCAGCTGGTCTGTTCATGTTGGCGACATGTAGTGGCTCAGTTTAGTCTGTTAGTTTAACCTGATCCTGATCTTTTTGAAAAGATTATGGGGAATCTCATTAATTCATATCATTCTATGTGTTGTCTGGCTCCGGTATGCCTGTAATACGCTGACTTCAGAATTACCTCCTTACGGATTCAACCATGGCTCTTACTCAGGCTGTGAATTATTGTGGAAAAATATGCAGCTCAAGAGCCTACCAACTTTGGTGGTTTCCCTGCATCCTCTGTTTACTTGCTATTGGAGGAGAACATTAGAGCATGAGAATGTGCTTCAGTCTTCCCCTTGTGTCTCGCTTCCTTAGGCCTGGACTCTTCATGGCACTGCCCTGCAGAAAGTCCACCTGCGCTCCCTGCAGCCAGAGGGGAAAGCTCAGAGGGTGGGCCGTCTGTAGACAAGCCCATTGCTATCAGCCCCACGCTGCCTTCCTGGGGTCTAGCAGATGTTTTCTAAGCCCCGAAGAGAAATATCCTTTGGCTAAGAAAATCTTGCCCTGCCTGGAGTGGAAAACCCAGAAATCAGTTCCTGATTTCTTAATTATTTTATAGCCTTGTCAATCCTTACATTCTTTAAACTGAATTCTGTCATAGATTTGTGTTTAAAATCCATTCCCTCATATCATAGCTGCTGTTGTCTCCTCTTGATATTATATTAATATATTATATATATTATATTGTTTCTGTACCTTGGGCACAGCTTGGTGCTAAAAGGAGTTGTGCCTTGTAAACTCCTTAATGG